CGGTGCCCCCAGAGCCATCCCTGCCCGAGCACTGAGGGACCCCCCGAGCCTGAGGGGAGCCGCAGGCAGCTCTGCCGGGGGCTGGAAACACCCGCGGGGTCCAGAAACAGCCAGTGTGGTTCAGTCAGAAATCGCTTTATTTGTGAAACTGTAACCGAAGGATTTTTAACGCGGTTCCGAAAGGCTGATGGTTTGTTCTTTGCCGGCGGGGGGTGTGAAGGTGCGTCGGGGGGGCTGTGTCACCAGGTGTGTGTCGTTAAAGAGCTCAGATCCTGCAGCTTTGGAGCGTTTACTGAGTCACGCAGGAGCTGCAGGTGTGACCAGGGGAAATACCTGGGTTTTTTCTGATTTATCTGGATGTTTGCACGTGTGGCTGCGTGTTGTAGGAAAGCCAGGCTCACATAAAGCACTGCTGGCAGTCTTGTGGTCATTTGGGCACGTTGTTCAGTTGCCACTCTGCATTTGTACTGAGGGGAAGGAAAATCTCTTTTGGTACCTGGTTTCTGGCCTCCATAAGGGGTTTTCTTGCCCCAAGTCTGCTTTACCCACTCATTTCAAAGCAGGATGAAGTGATTCCCTTTAAGTCATCCCTACTGGGGGGATGTGTGCAACCTAGTCTTGGTTACTCAGGAGATTGAGGACATAGAGGGACACGTACAGAGCTGCTACAGCTGAAAAAGCTTCTTCCCCACAGGTGACAGATCCATCTTTCTGGAGCTTCACTCCACTCATCTCAACTATTGCAATAGTTAATTCTTCTTCCTTCTCTTGTGTGAAGGAGACCAAGTTGTGGTCTATGCTGGAAGGCCCCTTTCTGTACTGGTCCTGTTCCAAGATGCTCTTGACCTTCACAGCAACAGCAAAAAAAAGCAAAATCAAGTGTTTTAATGCTCCCATCTGTGGAAGTTGTTAAGAAAATTATCTCTTTGACTTGTGAGGTGGTTTGTGGGTGCACTAAGTAATTCACCTTTATATATGGGACTTTTTACTGTGAAAGACTATCATGTTCCTGTATCAGTTTCTCAGTTTCTTGTGAATTTGTTATGTTCAAGAAGTTAAAACTGTAGTGTGGGGTTTTTTAAATCTGGAACCAAAGAAGCCAGAAAATTCTCACTGCCATTTAAAAAATGGCAGTCAGCTGTGTCCCATGCAACTACTGTTTTGCTGATAATATACATTAGAAATCTTAGATCTTGATGTTTTGGGGCAGTTCCTTTCCAGGTGAGTATTTTGATCCCTGCCAAGTTTGAAGCAGTTATTCCTTCCCTTCTTCACAGTGTAAATTGGGATGTGCTGCCTGTATCATCATAGTCTGCCTGTTGCTTTACTTTACATAATTCCTGTGGCCCCTTGGTGTTGAGCCAGATGTGGTGCATGTTCTCTTACCAGCTTAAGCTGTTTGGGCACAATCTTCTCTTCCAAGGACTCCAGCAAGAGCAGCAGCTGATCCTCCATGAGCTCTGCAGGATTAAACCACGTTGGTACCAAAAAAACATAACCCACCAGTGCTTCAGAGACAACTGGTGAGGGGTTTGGGTGGAGCTCCTGGCAGTGGCAGCTCTGTGATTCTGTCACTGAGCAGCAGCTGCTACAAACAAGTCTGTGCTCTCACATCAACCACCTTCATTCCCACCATCTAAGAAATTATTTTCCATAAATCCTCTGCAAATCTCAGATGTTCTGTGTTCTGCAAGTCCTGTTGGTAGGAATAGCATGAACACGTTCTGGTGCTCCTGGGTTTCCCTACTGAAATGGCCAGCGAGCCTTACCATCCAGGGCATCCAGAGTGTAGCTGATTGCTTCTGCCCAGCTGAGGAGGTGGATTCTTGGAGAACTCTCAAAGCTGCTCAGCAAGTCTTTTAAGCCTGGGCTGTCTGTTTTCAGCTCACAGCAACCACCTTCATCAAGAACTGCTTCCATCTAGGGGGAGAAGGAAAAAGGTAGGGATTAAAGAGAAGAGGCAGCTGATAGTCCCATTGCAGTCTGACTACAGAAGCTCATGAAGTCATGTCATGTTTTTCTTCCCTCCTTAAGCTATTTCTGAGGTTATAGTTGGAGCCTTTAGCATTCCCACTGGCTCTAGTTAGATAGGATATTAATTTAAAGGGTTTGATGCCTTCAGGTCAATCTGCTAGGCTACATTCAGGACATATTTCAGCAGTTGACTCTGTCCTGAGCACCTTCCTTCTCTGTGTGGAGATGGAGACCAGACAGAGGGTCTGAGTGAAGGAGTTTTGGATGGATAGTTATGGCACAGGCGACAGGATTCCTGGGGCAGGAGGTGTGACCATGGATCACTGAATTTATAAATCCAGGCAGGAGGAAGAACTTGGCTTACTTTCTGGGACAGCTCTTGAAAGAGGTTCCTGTCTCTCATCACAGCTTTGATGGCTTCTAAAAATACGATGGACAGATCAGAAGGCAACTTGGAGAGAATTTGACAATTCTTTTTAACTTCTGCCTCCAGTTCTCCCAGTTTTCCTTGTGACATACCTGAAAACCAGAAAGGGTACAAATAGGTCACTTATAAACTAGGCAATCCCATGAGAAGTTCCCTAAAATTAGAATTTGAAATGTTTCTGTGACTATTTCTAAAAGCAACAGGCAATTTTGAGTAAATGCTTTGTTTTGGGTGCTTTGTGTTTATCCTAAGGGATTCCATCTTTCCCACAGGGGGAGACAGTGCAAGTAGAAGCAGGAAATGGCATTGCTCACCGTCAGAGACAAAGCATGATCTGTTTGTTGCTTCTGGGAAATATTGAAGGTCTGCAACAGGATAAAAAGACATGCTGGTTTAGAAAAAAACTTCTTCTGCCCCTTCATTTAAAACTTGTTATTCTTTGGCCTCATTCCCTACTGACATGGGCCTTATGTTGGGGCCTGTATTAGCCAGTATGTGTGTTTAAATACGAGTCAATTAAAACAACAGCTTATACTCAACAAGTGGGAAGGGAGTGGGAAGCATGGAGCTTGGGGGAAGGAAGCCACACATGGCCTCTCAAATCCTGCAGCAGGGTTTGTGAATCTCAGTCCTCTCTTTCTCTTCCTACCCCCCATAAGCATCTTTTCCACCATTCTCCCACCAAAGGCTCAGCCACCCTGTTTTCTCCCTGGCTCTTTTCAGTAGAAAAGAAAGTAAAACTGCCTTCTGCTCTCTATGCCATTTCTCAACAGGAGCTCTGCAGTTACTGAAGTTTAGAGCTGAGACTTCAGTATCTCTTTCATTTCCTTATCAACCTCCCCTGAAACTTCATCTCTTTCCCAAGTAGCTCCTTTAACTCATGTGCAACGTCCAGCCTTTCCCCAGGTGATTTCTCTCACATTCTGTGTGCTCATGTCCTTGCAATGAGCTTAGGGTGGGTATGATGCTGAGTGATGCCTCAGAACATGTTTTTCTTCAGTGTTGTTTCCCAAATTGAGGAATTGGTAGTTTCTGGAAGTTACTTACCCCATGATCCATTTTTAATGGCCAGTGGGATTGCCCTGAAGGCCAGGGTGCAGCCCTTGGGTATTGTTATGCTTTGGTTGTTCACTCTGCTGCCCTGGTCAGGGGGGAAAAAAACCAAACTGTTAGGAGGCTGGGAGGGGGTGTGGGTGTTGGGGAAGGACCAAGTCCTGAGCATGGAGAGAAATCAAACCTTCATACGAAGCTTGGCGTAAAGCTGGGCCATGAAGCTCCTCTCTGCCTGGGTGGATTCCTTGTAGCTGGTCTCCTCTGAGGCTTCTATTGTTTCATGAATCACATATAAATTCTGGTGTGTTTTTTTCAGTTGTTGAATGAAGGGGTGGTTCACATTTATTTCTCTGAAGAAGGAGGAGATACCCTGGCTAAAGGTGTCTGTTATTCTGTGAGCTATGACAGAAGTATTGTCATCTGCTCAGAGACAAAAGCTTGTACAGGGGCTTCTAAGGAGGACAACCAGAGGGTGTCCCTTGGTGTCTGCCTTACCTCTCTTCTTTAAGCACCTCAAGTTTGGCTACTGGGACAGGTCTCTTCTCCATCTTGATGGTCCACTCTTTGGCCAAGGAGGTGACTCCTTTCAGCTCTATTCTTGTGGGTTCAACATGAAGGCCAAGGTTCCCATCAATGCTGTTAGTGACACTTTGTGTGACTGTAAATTGCCTTGAAGCTTCACCCCCTGGGCTGGGTAAGAGGGACTCTGCAAGGGTTTAGTGCATTAGCTTAAATGTGATTACACAGGCCTGACCTTATAACTGTTGCACACATGTGGGAGAGTCCAGGCACAAATGATCCAAATTTTTTATCTATGGAAACTTTGAACTTAAGGCTGAACAATGTGGGGTTTACCTGTGCTTTTATCACCTTCCCCTGGCAGCAGCACATCCGCAAGTCTGTACTGGGTCTGTTTGTAGCAGGGAGACAAGTGGAATATGGCTCTTCTTTTTCTTCTCACTAGGCAGAGTGGTCTGAAGTGTTCATGGTCTAAGATGCTGCAAACTGGGACCAGGTCTCCTTTTGGATCCAGTTGATTTACTATGGACTGGGTTAATTTTTTAAACATTCTGCTGCACCTGGGTGAATTTTTGAACGAAAGCAAAGTACTTGTGCCTTAGGGAAGAGGCAAGACAAGTTAAGCAAAATGACCTCAAGAATAATCCAAAGGCTGTAACAAAATATATTATTAAGAACTCTTCAATACCATAGTAGTTTTCATTATTAACCTAGGGTCTGTCATGGTCCAAAACACTTCAGTCTTTAATGTGTTGACCTGACGTTGGTTTAAAAGTTAAAAAGCTGGAATAATTTCTTGTTGGTTTTTCCTCCTGCAGTGTTTCCCCTGCATGTCCTGGAGTGGTTTTGCATTGTTTCAAAATGGAGAACTAGGAAAGTGATTTCATCCAAGTCTTACTGCAAGGAAGTGAAAGCACTGAGGGGTGAATACTGGGTTGAGGGGAGGGGTAAGTAGGAGAGTTCCTTCTGTGCCAAGCCCATAGAGCAAAATATATCCCCCAAAAGATATAAAAAACCCCAGGTATTCCCTGGTGCTCTGCCTCTTATCTCCCCAGAGGAGGGCTGGGTGCTGAAGAAACAGAAACACATCACTGTCAGTTTCCTGTCACCGTTTCGTTTTAATCCAAAGTTTGTTATGCTTCCTGCTTCATCTGGTATGACAAAGTGTGACGAAGATGTTTGATTTACAAAGGAAAAACCTTCCTGTTCTTACTGAGAAGAAAAGCGTGCAGGTCTGTCCCCTCTGCTGCACCTGGCAGGACATCACAGAGGGTGGCGTGTGGTGGCGCTGGGGAGGGGAAACGTTTGGAGGGATTGATGTGGGATCATTTCAGCAGTTCCTACGGGACTCCCTTCCCTTGTGAGATTTCAAAACGAAAGAAAAACTAAACAAGAACACTTCACAGACAGTTTCCCCCACCCTTTTCTGTGCTGAAAGATCTTGATAAGGTACTTGCCTGTTTGTGGAGTGGGTGGCTCCTTGTCTAGCGGCAGTGGGCTGCGGGGCTGTGCTCCTGCAGTGACAGTACCACCTCACAGCAGCAGGGCTGGTGAAACGGCTCCTCCCTGCCCTTCCGTTCAGAGAGCAGGAAGCAGCAACTAAATCTGGGGCAGAGAGCAGGCTGATGTGATTCCTCCTGCAAAAAGTTTCAGTTGTGGGCCTGAGTCAGCCTGGCATGATCTGTGGCAGTGGCTGTGGATCCTTGTTTAAAATAAAATCTGACCATGTAAAAATTCAAGGACTCAAGCACCAGTTTTTACATGAATATTTTATTAGTTTCTCTTAGAATACTGTACAAAGGAGTAATAAAAATATTCACACTTTATTTTAGAAAGTTCTCTAATGAGACTTCTGTATACACAGCAAAAAGGGCTACTTGAAAAAAACCCTAGAACTTTGTACAATGTCAGAATGTTCCATTAAAAAAAAACCAAACAACTAATTCAGCTCACTTGAACAGATCCAAGGAGGATCCAGGTACACAAACACTTGCATGCTTAAGAGAGATAACAGGCAATGATAAAGCAACATAAGTCACAATGAGAAATATGGATGTGTTAGCCATGGGAACCAGCTCTGTCCCCTTTTCAAGGGCCAGTACCATGCTTCTATTAAAGCAAACAAAGAATTAAACAAGGGTTAAAATAAAATTACTAAGGAATTAAGTAGCTTTAGATCTCAGGCCTTTTTCCCCTTAAGGGTTTTTTCCTGCCAAGGGTTGGACTGTCTGACCTCCCGTTAGCTGGGTTAATCGAATCACCAGACAGGATCAGGCTGCTGGTACTTGATTTGTTTTCTGACTCCCCTGAAGCTTTTCTCCTTGAGCATTCATGCCAGAACAAAACAGAAAAGTGTATTAAGTTCCTGCTTCTCCTGTAATTGTTCCTCTGTCACAGGACAGAGCCCACCTCCCATCCTGCAGCAGCTGTTTGCCCTGCTCCCTGCCCAGGAACCAGCACATTTGGGAGGAAAATGCGTCAAGTGTAACGTGAGCAAAACCCCATTTAAAATCAATAACGATCAATTGTCTCCTCCCACAGGTACTCAGAAAATTCTACAGTCTAAAAGAATGAGCAGTCTTTGAGCTCAGTTCTGGCTCTCCACGAGGAAGGTGGGCTTCCCCTGGGATTGCTGCTGTGCCAGCTTGCAGGTAGGTGGCTGAAAACCCCTTGTCCTGACCCCGCTGTCAGCAATCTGTTATCCCATGAGTTTTAGCGTTTTGACTTTGCTCTTCAGCTTGTGGCTGTGCAAGATCAGCCTTCGAGGGCTGAACCTGTAACACACACAAACAAACCAGACGTGGTTGCAGTGCGGGGTCCCAGGAGACCCAGAGCTGTGTCCATTCCTTCCCCACCGCTGCCGTGGGGGTTTCCCAGCGGAAGCTCAGCCGGGATCCGCTGGCTCCCGTGACACAGGCAGGATGGAGCCACCCTCCTGGTGTGCGAGGGTGGCTCCAACAGTAACTTCCACATCAAGCTCCCTCCAGTAAAAGTAGCAGTTGAGACTGTGGTTTAATTGCAATTAACTTACAGTTTCTTTTCTATTTTTGATTAATTCTGATACCTATCCTAAGATGGGATCTTAAGGAAGATACTATCAGATGTAGCATTGTTCAAGTAATTATTAATCTTACATAGATACTTAACACAGCACATTATTAACATGAAATCTTCAGCTCTCTCACTTCTTTATGTATTTCTCCAGATCTCATTTATATTTCCCTTGACTGGATTAATTGTATGAATCCAAGTTAACTGCAGTTACTCTGTGCCAGAAATGCCATCCCTGTGTTGTAAAGAATGACATTTGCCATGTGACAAATACCTGTGATTAAAATAATTTGTGTGAACAAGGTAAATCGGACAAACTTCCTATGATAATCACAGCTTTGTCTAATGAGAAGCTTTAGACTCGATCCTTTAAAAACTGCCTTTTTGAGAAGTTTATATCCCATCTGTTTTACAGTCTAACTTTAATTTAACAAAGTAGAATCAGATGTCCATCATGTCAGTTAACAGCACAGAGAATATGTAATGCCAGGGCCCTCAGGGACTGTGAAGTGCTGCACTTCAACCAGCAGAGCTGAGCCCCACCTTCAATTTATACCTATGCTAAAAAATCCAAACTGCTTTGACTTTGTGTGCTGTGCACATGCTCAGCAATAACCACTATATGTCTATGTAGGAGCGATGGTTTTAAGCATACAGCGATTGTTTCTATTGCAGAAAAGTTGTTGTTTTCCCCTGGTATTCTACCAAAATAAATAGTTTTCCTTCCTCTGGAGATTTACCACTGGCAGGCCAGCCTGTCTGTGAAGCAGCACAGTCTGCATCCACGATCCAGCCCCAGCCATCTTGGGAAGGACACTGCAGTTCCGAGGGTAGCAGCGTTCCCGGGAGCATTCCAGGCACTGACATTGTTCACTCCTTAGCCATTTCAAAGGTATGTTGCTGATTGAAATATCTCTATTTTTTTAAACTATTTTTTTGTTTTCCAAAGTCATTGTCTAGTAGCTCAAAGAGTCCGTAAGCTTTAGGGTGTATAGTACCTTCTCTAGAAGCTGTCTTTAAGTCATGGAGGTTCAGAGGTTTAACCCCCTCAAGGAAACTGCCTGTCTGCCAACCTCCCTCTCTGGAGAACAGCGCTTGGGTTTTGAGCCAGACTCTTTTACCTTCTTGAAAACTTTTTTCACTTAGAATATTTCCAATGGTCAAACACCTTCAGTAATGATCCTCTGTGCATCCCAGCAGCCTTCTGAGAGACACTAAAAGTTCTTCCCTTCTCTGCAGCAGTCCAGAAGTCAAGCAGCTTGCCCAAACTGATGCACAGAGTTGTGCTAGATCTTACACACAACCCTGAAGCTCCCTGTCCATGTCCTATGCTCAGACCACCAAACAACTCCACAATATCCACCATGACCTCTAAAGCTAGAATTGGCTAATGCAGGAACAAAAATAGCATGTTTAAAATGTTTATACCATTGTCAAAAGTGTGAGACAATATTAAGCGCTAAGACAACAAAAACCCAGGCTGTCCTCAGCTTACAGGGAAGTGTGAGGGGGGGAAAAAACCCATTTCATCTGGCACACAGCCTAAAAAGAAAGCTAGATTGCTTTGAACAGCAGAAAGCCTTCACAGCCAGGAAATCTAAACCTGCTTTATTTAGGTGGTAACTTGATAAGGAAAAGGTGCGATTTTGTTTCTCTACTAAATAATCAGTGACCCCCCTGCATCCTGCTGGTGCTGCTCAGTAGTGTTGCTCTCCTGCAGCTCCCTCACCCTGGCTGGTGATCCCACCTGAGCACTCTGTGCTTAAAAATGAGTAGTTTGGGGTGGGAAGCAGAATTAGCTGGGCAGATTCTAGTACAAGCTGAAAATAACAAGTATGATTTGGGATCTATGGACCTTTTCCCTGAACAAATAGTATCACTGAAAACTGAAAGCTTGGTCAAAGTGCAGGTCATCCCTTCCTGTGCTGTTTTTAGTAAAAGAACTTGCTTTCTCAGTGGCGTAAAAGATTGCAAAATAAAAATCTGTATTTCTCTTCCTCCTCCTACTCCCCTGCCCAAAACTGGAACTCAAACCCCGAAACAATCGAGTACTGGGACAGTCTGGCTGTATCCCTTTGAATTTCCCCCACATATTATTTAAAGAACCTACCTTCAGACAGGGAAATACATTTTTAAAGTGCATTTACCACAGCAATAGTACCAGCACTAAAAGCTTTCCCCCTTATCCCTATCCTTGTCGTTCAATGTCTGGGAGAGATGAAAACCTCCCCAGAATTCCTCCTTGTTGTACCTTGAAGTCTCAGTGTATCTGCTGGGATAGAGCGGATCCAGCGGCGCGTGTCCTGCTCCCTGCTAAACTCTACTCTGGAGCTTGTTTAGATTTATTGGGCATGAGGATCCAGCATGTGGTGTGTGTCTATTGGATACTGCAGTTAAACAGCTGCTGTGAAATCACATCCCAGTGTGCATGGGGTGAAGAAACAGGACGGGAGAGAAGGATCTTCCCCCTCTCCCCTGCTCCTCTTCCACTCCCTCCAGCTGCACAGCTCAGTACTTGTTGATCCCAAAGATCCGGACTCCGTGGAACTGAGGCAGTTTGGGGATCAGGACGCTCATAAGGGAGATGGTGTTGATGATGAAGTGTATCCGGTCGTACTTTGTGTAAAAGCTGGTTAGAAAATACCTGGGGAGGAGGGAAACAGAGGGAGAGAGAAACCCAATTACAGCAGGTGGTGGTTTTGTTTCCCAGGACAGCCTGTGCCCCCCCCTCCCAGTACTCACAGAACGATGGGCATGATGGTGAGGAACTTGCGCGAGGCCGTGAACTGCACCCCGTAGTCCATCTGCTCCCAGTGTGTCAGCAGCCGCGCCTTCCCCTGGTCCGGGGGTTCAAAGGGAGTTCCCTTCACCGTGTGTAGGAAGATGTACATGCTCTGTGGCAAACACACAAAGACGGCGTCAGGCACCGGGAAGTGTTCGGGAGCAGCCGGCGCGTGCAGCGGCGCGCCGCTCCACTAGAGGGACGTGCCGTCGTGCTGACAAACACCAGCACATGCTCCACGAAGCAGTGAAAGCTGGGGAGAAAGGCTCACTCGGGCTTGGCTCTGACACGTGAGGCCTCTCCTTCAGGTCCTGGGCCTGAGCCAAGAAGGTGGTTGCAAGATTACAGCGCTGGGATCAGGAGATTTCCCAGTACTCACAGAACGATGGGCATGATGGTGAGGAACTTGCGCGAGGCCGTGAACTGCACCCCGTAGTCCATCTGCTCCCAGTGTGTCAGCAGCCGCGCCTTCCCCTGGTCCGGGGTTTCAAAGGGAGTTCCCTTCACCGTGTGTAGGAAGATGTACATGCTCTGTGGCAAACACACAAAGACGGCGTCAGGCACCGGGAAGTGTTCGGGAGCAGCCGGCGCGTGCAGCGGCGCGCCGCTCCACTAGAGGGACGTGCCGTCGTGCTGACAAACACCAGCACATGCTCCACGAAGCAGTGAAAGCTGGGGAGAAAGGCTCACTCGGGCTTGGCTCTGACACGTGAGGCCTCTCCTTCAGGTCCTGGGCCTGAGCCAAGAAGGTGGTTGCAAGATTACAGCGCTGGGATCAGGAGATTAGCATGGACTTGCTGTCCCTGGCAGCAGCAAGGCTAAAGGCTGCTGCTGGGAGAGCTGCAGGCACCAAGGGGCTGCTCCTGCTCTGATTACCGAGGTGATCTCATGTGGAGGAGCACAAGTCAGATAAACAGCAAGTGCTTGGCTGCATCCCATGTATTTCAAGTGCAGCCATTGCTGGTGTTTACTCTCCTTTCTGTTCCCAGAATGGTTTAAGCTGCCAGAGGAGAGGAAGGAGCTGGATGAAAAAGCAGGCAGCTTGGGTGGTTTGTCTCAGCTCTTCCTATGCTTAGAGGGATGTGACAAAGGGACCTACCCTGCAGGCAAATTCAGTGTCCCCTCAGAGCAGCATCACCAGATGTTTGCTGTCTTATCAGTACCTAGGCTGGATTTAAATGTATGACCTAAAGGCAAAGGTGCAGTCAGAGGGGTGGAGATTGAGTAATTTACCCCATGTCTTTGGAAATACAGAGAAAATAATTGCTTCAACAGGAATTTTACTAGATTGCTCTCTAAAGAACAGCTGGTGCTAGGGATTACCTCTCCATGCCCAGGGAACCCCAGCCAGCCATGCTGCTCCCTTACCATGTTGTGGATGATGTTGGTGAGAGTCCAAACCACGGGGACGCTGAAGAAGGGGATGCTGAGGAGCACGACGTGCAGCAGCCCAATCCCCAGCACGTAGGACAACCAGATTCCCCGGCTGTTCATGACACGGGTGTTGGGGTTCACCTCGCTGTGGGCTGTTCCCACGTTCATGTTGGCTCCTGTGTCTGATAGGCAGTCCTGGAACTGAAGCAGAGTCTGATCAGTGCTTGGATCGTGGCAGCACCCAGCTGAGCACAGCAGGGCTCAACACCAACCTGCTCCTGAGCAAACCTGAAATCCATTGTTTGCTAGAAAACCACAAGTCAGTTCCGTTCTCTATGCCTCGTTACGGAGCTGACATTTCTGAGGGGAAGCTAAATCTGGGAGCAGCCGAGATTTGGGAATAATGTGTGGGAAGCCCGTCTGTGATAGAAGCTACTTGTGATCTGCAGAAATGTTTTCCTGGAACAAAGATGTCAAGGTTCAATCCCATAATTGCCTGACAAGACTCAAATACTTTAAGCGCTTTTTAAGTGATCATCTTCATGTTAATCACGGATGTGCTCAGCACATGAAGCTCCTTACATGTTTATGGGTTCAGCACACCTTGAACTTGGAAGTAGAACAGAAATGTCTGCAGAGTAAGGGTACACCAGCTCGGCATCAACAGATCTCCTGATTTGTTTAACTAAAATAACAGGGTTCTGCACAGCTGCAGAAGCTTACTGGTCTCCTGCTCTGGCTTTCCTCTTTTGCCTTCCAATTTAAGACTAGCAGGGGGGAAAGAAGTAACTAAACCCTTCCCCCACAGGGAAGAAGTGAGATTCTACTTGAGGAGCATAAAAATTATCAGATAATGAGAACTGCATCAGGAGGGTATTTCAGTAGCAAGAGCTGCAGAGGATCTGGCTCTTCCCCTACCTGGAAAGAACAGCTGCCATGTAGGAGGGATACAGAGATGTTTTCCTAAACAATACCAGGAAGATGAGGAAGCAAGACAGTGTCATCCTCTCAGGGGGCAAGGTTGGAGTGGTGCCCTGCAGACAACATGGATCCTGGAGAGGCTTTCTGGATGGCAGCATGGGGAGCAGCCTTGAGTATCAGTCAGCCTGAAGGCTCCCTGGGAAGAGGAGAGCTCTGGCTCACTGGTTTCCAGGGATTACAGGGAACAGCACAAATTGGAACCGCTGTAAAGCTGAGTATTGTTACACAGATATCAGAGAAGTTCTTGCTTAAAGTCATCCTTGTCTACATTCCACAGAAATGTCTCTTCATCAGATGGCACAGGCTGTCCCTCATGGTGTGGAGGAACCCCAGGCTGTTTTCTGATGTCTAGCCTGGTGTTTTTGCTGCTTTGGTTGCTATAGCTGGAAGCTGGAGCTGCTGCTCTCTCCCTCTCCCAGCCTTCCATCTCCAGAGGTGAGTTGGAGACAGTTGCCAGCATTCCTGGTTCCCTGGCGGAGTGCAAGGCCTGGTTTGTTTCAGGAGCTGGTGCCCCTCTTGCTGCCCAGGGCTGGGACCCAAAGTGAGCCTCCAAAGCCTCTTTCCTCTGCACAGGTGGCTCCGGTGGGGCAGGGGGAGCTGAACCTCTGCTCACCAGCCTCTGCTACTGGGGACCATTGAGGGGCTTATACCTGGAGGAGCTTTGAGTTACCAAAGAGGCTTGCAGGTCTGCAAAGAGCTAATTTCCTTGGATATTGGCTATTGGATATTCCAGAGAAAAGCCTCAAGCTTAGTCTGGAAGCAGGTGTTGGAGCCAGAGTTCAGCACTTGAGTCCTAGGAGGGGGAGCAGCTCCATCCTTCATCTGCTGCAATTCCTACAGGCATTCAGAAGGAAAGCTAGGGGTTGCAGTAAAGTGTAACATGAGTCAAAAAAGTCATTTTGTTACAGCAACAACAGAAAAGCAAACACTCCAGTGGAATGCATAAACAGGAGTGCTGTTTGCCAGACATTGGAAAATTCTCCTAGATATTGGTAAGGCCTCAGCTAGAAAACTGTCCAGCTCGGGAAGGAGCTGGAGGGAGTCCAGGGGAGAGCAGTGAGAATGAGCAGAGGTGCAGGAAAAACATGACCTGCAAGGACAGATTGAAGGAAAAGGGATTGTTTAGCCTGGAGGAGGCTAGAGAGAGGCGTGAGGGGAGTCCTCAAATGAGGAGCTGCATTGAGGAGGGACACACTGTGACTGAGCCTTGGAGCAGCTGGATAATGGGGTGGGCTGCCCACTGAGGGGAGTGGTGGTCTTGCTGGGGGCTTTAACATCAAGTTTCATAAGCAGTAAAAAACCAAGATTCCTCTTTGGAATAGGGGGGTAGAGCAAGGGGGCTCTTTGGGCCCCTCTCTCCTTGAAATGGCACCATTGGCCTAAGGCAGCAGAATCTGGCAGATGTTCCTGTGACAGGTGTTTCCTGCCTGTCCAGAAAGGAACTGGCCTTTCCCTTGGAGGACAAATGTGAGTTCCAAAAACTAATAAGCACCTTCTTGGTCCCCTCTGCAGATGAGGGCAGTTGCAGACCTGCAGCTGGGTGGCAAAGGGCCACACTGAGAAGCTGTAGGTGAAGCAGTTTTCCCTGAGCCTCAGTTTCCCTTCTTGGAGAAATGAGAGTTAGATGGGTGAGCTGCTAGAACATACAAGAGGATAATTTGTTCTTGCAAGAGATGGAGATGTCAATCGATGATACGATGTTAATTCTGTGACCTTCTCCCACTCTGTCCTTCCCTTCCACAAGAATATTCCATCTGCACCTCTCTCCTGTTTCTGAAGGGGGCCTGCAGCCCTTGCCTGAGCTCTGTGCTCCTGGTGGATTGCACTGCTGGGCTCTGGGGAGCTGCAGAAGCCTGGCTGAGGGAGCGTGAGCTCTTATGATTCCCATCCCTGATCCTGTGGCGTTTGCTTTTGGATTTTACACCAGGGATTTGTTCACCTGCCAGAAAAACAACAGTGGGAGGAACTCCAGCTGCCCCCCCTACCCCCCAGCAGCTGGCTGCAGAGCTCTGCTTTCCCACTTGTCCAGTGTTTTTTTGGGACAGAAAAGCTTTTAATGTTTCACCAGACTGTGTGTGAAGGTCAGGACTGCGCTGACATTGGATGGTGTCCATCCAAGCAGGGGAAAAGTCCCAAGTGGTCAGAGGCAAAGAGCAGCGTTCATGGCGCCGAGCCCTTCCTCTGCCTGGTTTTCCACCCACTGCTTTACCAGCTCCTTGCCCACATCCCAAGATTCTTGTTCTGTGGCTCAGAGCGAGTGGGCAGCCAGCTCAGCGTCTCCCCACTTCTAAGGAAAGGGGGGGAACAAAACATCACCAGTGTCCCACTGGTCCTTTGGTGTTTTGTCCTCCAGCAGCTGCTGGAGGACCCAGAGCTGTGCCACCAGCACCCCAGGGGCAGCTCCTGAGGAATGTCACCATCTGCTCCCATCCCCTTGTGTTTCAGCTCTGCTCAGGTGCCCTCATGGCTCTTCCCATGCCCTTCCCAGCAGGATGCCACCCTGGGCCTGGTGCCCCACTGCAGGAACCTCATCTGAGCTCAGGTCCTTATCTCGGTTGATTTTCCCAAGTGATTGTGATCCCGAGGAGGAGCTCTGATCCCTATCTCTGGCAGCAACACCACCACTGCCTCCCCAGCAAATGAATATTTTAAACCCATCTTTGTGAGATGGCATCAGTGTTTGCAGCGGGCACGGAGCACGTCAAAGGTGGTGGCAAACGTGGCAGCTGAGCAAGACCAAGAGCTTTGTGTCCTGCTCCTGGACACAGGGCTGAGGAGAAGCTGTCCCGGGTGGGAGTGGGAGCAGCTGGGACTTGCACTTTTCTGCTCGATTTAGAGGGAAGGTTTGGAGATGCAGGGGGTGTTGGGCCTCCCCAGGGTGGGGATCCTGCTCCCCTCCACATTGGGAAGGATCCAGGGTGCTGGGGTGGGACCCACTCCTCTCTGGACGCCCCCAGAGCACAGCCTGAGCGCGGGACCCCCCCAGCCCGGGAACATCCCCCCTATTGCCCCGGGGCTTTCCGGCCCCACCCCAGCAGCTGTTTGGGGCTTTTTGGGGTGATTTCCTTGGGGACCGGGCCCACCCCAAGCACCATCTCTGCTCCAGCCGCCCCCGCGGGCCCAGACCGGTGCTCGG